TAATGTCACATAGTTTTTATCATGAAATTTGGTCATTTCTAATTAAAATTCCATCTGCCAGTTCTGCAATAAAATCTATAATACCGCTGATAGATTGAAAATGTCTACAACACACACGATCATATCTCGTCAGCATGTCAGACCATTCCACCTGTTTGATTGCATGAATCCAATTTTCTTGAATTCTTTTAAAAATTTCACGAGTTGATCACCCTGTATGTGTTCCAATTGAATGTCAGTAGATATAGAGAATCGAAAGTTAAGACATCAGGGACATGTAAGCCGTTTTGATCGATAATGAATAGTTTCAACACAAAAAAAATCCTAAAATTTAAAAATCTCGAATTTGAACACCCTATATCTCTGTAATCATTCCTGCTAGACCCCAAGTGTGTCAGCTCTTCAGGAAGAATCTAAAAATACAATGAAATACCGGGTGCTCCATTCAAAATAACGAAGTTGCTAGTTGTTTCTGATAGGTGGTAACACTGTATCGATGAAAATATTTTAGACGGATAAAGAATGTTCAATTATCAAAGCATCCCAATTTTCAGAATGTTCTGTGTTTTCGTTCTCCAGATACTTCTATAATAGGCCATCCACCGTCGATCACCCTGTATATAGTGCATCGCCTATATGATATCTCAACAAAAATGGGACCAAAATGAGAGGTACTTTTCGATTCTATAAGGACGGAAAGTGAAGGTCCATCCAATGGCTGACGTATGAGGATCAGATTTTAAGTTAGGTTAGGTTCCTAAATAATTATTTGATCATAATAAATAAAATATCAAACATCATCAGTTCTTGATGATACCCTGGATAATACCAGAGTATAATACCGTCAATTTCGATTTATTCCTTAATAATGTGGTTAAAACAGGATAGAATATAGCAAAGCATAATGTCAGTAACTTTGAGGAACAGGAGAGAGAGCCATTGCAGATGATAATGAAAATGAAATGAACTGCGATAATGATTTCATTCAGTTCGGTGGTATTTTCGAAAGTCACACCCTTTTTTCCAACATTATTGCTTCAGATCTTGGTTTTGAATATAGGTTAAGGGTTAACCTAGGTAGGTATATGTATTCTTTTTCTCAAATGTTTAGCATGATAGTACTACACTAGGTACACTACTTGTCACCGTACTACCTATGCATCAGATGAGATATTATTATCGAAAGCTTTCTCCTAAATCCTAACTTCAGTTCTATATAATGATTTTCAGTTTCAGATCTACTTACTTATTTGCAAGCCCAAGATATTGAAAATTCAACTCACTTATGAAAAGAGGATTCCTGTCTATTCTTTACTCCGCAAATACTGCATTTCAGTCCATGAAAAATAAACGAAATCACAAACATTAAAGAATTGTACAACTAAAAACGCAAATATTCGAATTTCAATCACAATCAATCACATCCGCGCTAAAACCAATTTAAAAATTTGAAATTAGTAGCCATATTGGTTCAACAAGTTTCGTATAATTTTTTCCATGTTTTTTCCCTACGTCGGCATCAACGCCTATTGGTCGATTTCGTTCCCATAGAGACAGAAGTTGGTCCCGCTTTGAGGACAGCTATGCTTCATCTGGCTTCATGCGTTTGCATTTATTCCAAGAAAAAAATGGATGGTCAATTAAAAATGATAGGTATCAATATTATATTAAAGTGCCCTCTTTTGTTGTAAATAGGGTATAGTGTGCCCTTGAAAGGTTTTCACAAAACTCTACCACATATTCCTCCTAAAACAGTTCGATACGTAATACGTATAAGTATACCTACTTGCTATACATAAAAATCAACAAAATTACCTGCCAGTTCATTCCATTTTTTTTTTTTGTATTATATAGGTGCGGATTTATACACACCGCTTTTTCATTAATCTGTAGTTTCACAATCATTAACGATTTCACTTATAAGTTGAAACGTGATATTCCCGTTCATTCAAATTTTTTCTTTCAGCCATTTTAAGCATAAACTATTCATAAGAGTAACAAACAATTTCTTCCTCTTCTTTTTCCAAAATGTAATTAATTATGTGATCACTGAATGTTTATCGGGTTAAGTACGCTGAGGACTATGTTTTGATCAAGAAGAAGAGTTTCAAATTAAAAAAGGTGGTGCATGGCACAATGAAAATGAAAGCAACAGATTAGTGAAAAAGTGGTGTGCATAAATCCACTTTTACTATTGCTCTAAATTATTTTCATTAAAACGTTGGATATATTCATTCTTCTGCTTCTCTCATTGCACTTCTTCCTTTGTGTCGCATTGTTTGGCATTTTGTTAATGATGGAAGTATCTTTTCCATCAATATTTTGTTAATTTTTTCAAGTATTTTCAAATTCTGGCGAATGAGCCGTCCTTTCGCCAAAATATAGAAATTAATGAATGTAATTTTAAATGCTTATACAGGGTCATCCGAATTAACAAGTATCCGAGGCCATCATTTGTGGCATGTGAAACATATAATTTCTTCTACAAATTCATTTCAATTTCACGCAAAGTCCAAATAATCCATCGTTTTTTGTTCACCCAAAGTCATTATCAATCTTGATTACCAATTTTGATTCAAATTACTTGGAACGTTGCATAGCAACAAACTTTTTCTGCCTAGGCAGTAAAAGTGCACCTTTTTTGCCTGTTAAGTGTCATTGAAGTCACTTTTAATGTCATTTGGAGAAAAACAAATATTGTGTAATTTTTTATTGAAAACTCCATCATTTTGAGCATGTTTACCAAATGTGAGTGTCAATTTTGGAGGCATAGCAACCAACTTTTCCTGCCTAGGCAGAAGAAAGTATACACCTCTTCCCTACCTGTTATGTGTCAGAAAAAAGCCACTTTCTATGCCGCTTGAAGAAATAATAATTCTCTTCATTTTGGGGAGGTCGTATCGAGATAATAAAACTCACGAATAAAATAAACTACCTACATCAAGGCAGAAGTGAAAAGATCCGGATTTCGTTTATCAGTCGGTAAAGGCAATGTGCGATGAAATCGGGTTTAATGATCTTATATCACTTATATCAGGTGACTCAGTTGTCACCATATACCGACCACCCAGGCACCAGAGTTTAGGAGATATACCTGCGATAGCCTAAATAGATTCTCCAATTGATTTCGTTTAATTGATGCCAAAATATCTCTACACCAACCTAGGAATGCAAGGAACAACGGGTTTTAGAAAACAAATAGCATTGTTACTGGGCCACAATCATTTGTCACTGCTCGCGGAAGTGTATCAATATTTTTTGAGGTTGGCAGGTATCATTTATCAAAAAAAAAAGTTCGACACGTGCGAGTTGAGAAGTGATAAATTCTATGCTCATTTTCGGGCACTGGAATCCATGCAGATATATAACAGATATACAGACAGGGCCGGAGTCATGATGTGGGGGAGGGGGCACATCAAGAAAGGATTTTCCACAGTGAAAATTTGTAGGTAAAATTTGCTGACAGATGGGGAATGGTTCGTTATAGAATTAGAAAAAACCATGCACTTATTCCTATCGTTCGTTACTCAAGGACCTCTCACAGTTTCAAATCCGGCCCTGTATACAAACAAAGGGTATAATCTTATATGAAATGATGATATTTATATACAATTATTGTAGCCATCTTATATAAAATATAGACCAGTTCGCAACAATATTTCTGATTTCATTTTCAAAATTATATACTTATATTTAGTATCCATTTCCATAATAATCCCTATAAGTATAGGTAACTTTTCTAGGATTCTTGGACTTTGCGTTCAAATTTACTTACCAGCGTTGCTTGTTTCATGATTTCATCAGATTGCTTTTGAATAACATACATTACACACGCCATTATTTTTAATGATATTTTTGCTTCTTTACAATAAATATGAATAAATCACTAGAAAATCATATTTCTAGTTGACTCAAATAATAGAAAAAATGTGTTGTACATTGTGATATATATAAATTGTCCAATGTTGAAAAAAGAAGGGCAAATTGTTCTAAATGCGATCCATTGGTAACTCTATATATAGTGAAATATCTTAATAAATAATGGTTTGTTCACATTTTCATTATCAAATTCGTGTTTTCCAGAAAAAAAAAACGTAAGTACCAAACAAAAATTCCAAAAAAAACCATCGCATGATAAATGCAGTTTTGCCAAAAATTGAACTTTTGGAGAAATCATTGAATATATGTGCCAAAAAATCACATCGGATTAATAATAATTGCTTCGATCATCTATTCTTATTCTATCCATAATAACAATTATCGAATTATAGGGTCAGATGAGATAAAAGATAATAAATAGAATACCAGAGATGGTACCCACAGAACCGCCAAGGTTGGTAGAACTGATGACTAACGATAATCATTTCGCATCAAATCTACCAACCTTGAGAACCGCATTACGGCATGCCATCTTTGGAGTGAGGTCAAAAGTATTCCAGATACTTATGAATGCAGTTATCGCTTTTAGCTGCAGTAAATAAGTTGTGACCATATCATGTCTAGTAATAATAACATATCACAGAGGGCTCTACATCCCCATAAATGCAAGATTGGTAGAGCTGATGACTACGAAAATTTAATCTAGATCTGGTTGGTACAACTGATAAATTTGTACCAACCTAAGTAATTGAATTTAAAGACTGGCGAATTGTTGATTTAAATAAGGTTTAAATGTAGGGAAAGACATCAACTTCTTTGTTCTTCAAACTAATAATAACCAACATTGACAAGAGATATGTAATGCGTTCCACAAATGACACATAAATCAACAGTAACTGCTGCCCTTGCCAACAAATAGCACAAAATGTCTAACCCTTTCCAAGTGGAATATGGTCAATTTTAGTCTGCTGGACAACAATATTTTTTTCAATAAAACTAATATAAATAAATTTGGAAATGTTTGTATCAATTTCAATAGTGTTTTATATAGAAGACTGAAAATTGTGATAATTTTGTTCACAGGGTAGATAAAAGGCAGAAAAATAACATCATTTATTTTTATACACTTATTCTGAAGAATTCGAAATTAACAATGATTTTTTTTTGTTCCTGTACAATTTATTTTCCTAAATAGAAATTAAAATTTTTGGTAATGCTGCTGTTTTGTTCATTTGCTCATCAAAAAAATAATAAATTCACAGATATGGGAATCAAATCTGATCAAATAATTGGGACAATTGATTGAATTATGTTCTTAGTTTCTCTACCATGTACACAGTTTATTGCTTGAGCAATACACTGTGACAATATATAATATTGATAATAATAATAACAAGCATCTCTGATACCTTATTACTAGATAAATATAATTAATAAGTCTATTTTTCTTTCACTTTCATAATACCTCAATATACAATTTACAATCCATACAAAAATAATAAATATCTAAAAAATTGTATAAAACCGTTTATGCATGATGGTTCCTATGGGGGCTGGTGTCAGCAAATGTCATGTATTGAATAAACTGAAAATCAGTAATGATTTAGTTAAATTGCCAACAGAAAAAAGCATATTATTGGACTCAAGAAATTAGGAGAAACACTGATATTGGTTATTCAACTAGAAACATAAAAATATTATATCATGTACTGGTCTGGAGTTTTCTAAAAAAATCATCAGGCCAAAAATCTTAGTGCTATTTGATCCAAATGTTACAAATCATATTTTCAAACCTATTACAGGCTATTCAAGAACATTTGAAGACATGTTATTCACACTCATTCATTTCATCATCTGATCTAATATATGAAAAAAAAATTATTGTACTTACTTCCTGAGTGAAAATTTTTTTTCTGATGCTTTGATGTAGAAAAGATACCCCAAAAGAACTGTTGCTGCAGCAAATAGAAGTCCATACCTCCCTTTGAAAACCAACCACATTGGTAGATTATTATTGAGGCGTACCCACATGCTCTTATTTCTATTCAGACGTCTTCTCATAATCTGTTCATCCTTCTTACGCTGATCAATTCTTGAAACAAAAAAAAGAAAATATGAAAATGTTATGGAAATATGATATTTTGGAATATTTCCAAGGTGATTTACCTTTTAACAATAAGAAATACACTATTTAAATGAAATCCTACACTGTGAATGCAATGTTCTTAGTAAAGAAAACAACAGATAATGAGTATTAATAAGCCTTTTTTTGGAAAAGCTATGTGGAAAAAATTGAGTAGAGAAGTTAGTTAACATCAAGAATAAATAATTGTACCTATTGCAAAAAAGGAAAAAAGATTGACACATAATGCAAAACTTGTTTATTATAAGTAACATACAAAAAAACATGGATAAGCAAAAATGGTTAGAAATAGAATATTATAAAAAGCAAATAAAAACAGAAAGATTAAGAACAAAAACCTACATATACTTTTTCTTAGATCTACGCAAAGCAAAAGATGAAAGCACTAAAAAATACAAGCGAAGACTGAATAGCTGCTTGAAAAAACATAGAAACTTGTGCAGAAAGTAAAGCACTCCATAAGCTACATACTCTTTTTGGACCCTCTTCTTCACCAAATGCTCCAATTTCACCATAGGATACTTCTTGTGGAATGCAGAGGCTCTTTCCAGAATTTCCTCAAAATCCAGGTTATCTGGAATCTGGGACAGAGTGCAGTGGATGCTAGCCATATCACTGCCCTCAGCAAAAACTTCTTTCCTTCTGTGCACTACCAGGGATGTTGCCACATACAGAGACATGTCAGGTGGTGAGGCCAAGAAATAGTCATAGAGCCTCACCACATCTTTGTACTGGTTTAGAGAATGTCCAAACCAGGTGAGGTACCAAGGTAATGCAAACATTGTACCTACAGATGCACTGGAAATATTAAAAAATGTGGGAAATGGAAATTCAAGTGTATTTTTTCCTCACCTATCCATGAAATTATGAAGATCAGCATCAACTCTAGAGAGCAGAGCATAAATATAGTTCAGTCTGTGTGAAGTTTTTTCCATTGTAGGCTCCATACAGTCTCTCAGATGATTTGTACTGAGTTTTTCCATTATCCTAAATGCCATTACCTCTCCTACTACTAATAAGAATGTTATAGCTACATCATGATAGCCCTTAAAATAAAGATGTGAAGATAGGTATATGTGTCAAAGTCCAAAATAAGATACCTGATAGTAACGTAAATTTGGGTATTTCATTATTACCCTCAATATAAGGACAGTGAGCTGATCTTGCAAAGCTACTCTTTGTTTATATGGAATGCCTACAATATTATCAAGTGTAAAAAAATTATACATGTAGTACCTATAGAACCTACCTGGTGGAAATCTTTTTAAAGACCTATTTACATCTAATACTACTTGTTGATATTCACTATGACCAGACAGTTCTTCTAATGATGGGATTCTTTCATCATGACTAGGGTCAACTTCTAGCAGGAGAGGCCAAACCTTGTACCTCAGATCATCTTGAAATGTCATTGAATTCATTGATGAAATATGAAATACTATACCTACTTACCTGCAACAAGTCCATAACTGCTTATTGCAAAATTTTGCCAAGTTCCCAATAATGAGTGCTGGTCTTCCAGTGCTCTTTCTATTTCTGTTCTCTTTTCAGTCTCTTCTTCAGATTCCAGAGCTAGAAGTCAGTGGTAAGTATTAACAACATATCAAATAATGTTGATTATTTGTTTACCAATATCAAATTTCAGTTCTGATCGTGTATCTTGAATATCATCATCTAACAAATCAGGATTGATGTCATCAGATTTCTTCTCAGAAGAATCATTGTTCAATAAAGAAGTAGTTTCTTCGTCCAAACTGCTTATTTCGTCCTCAAAATTCTCCATTTCACAGGATAAACGACAGAATATACAAAAACCACTTAAATTTTCAATCACCACTGAATTTATGACATTTTTTTGATGATATATTTATATTATTGATAGGATATTTATAATAATATTGATAATCGCCGAATCAAAAAGCCCCTTCGATTGACTGTCAATGTTACGTCATTATTTGACAAACAGAAGACAAATGTCAAACAATCAGAATTTTTTGGTGGGTAGGCATTTAATCATTTCAGGCTCTACCCAGTTGTCCGTTGTCCCACCAACTCACGAATATATGCAGTGGCCTAGTGGCAGTGCAGTGGCACTAGCAACATTGGCCCTTGATTTTGAATAAAGCTATAAAGCTAAGAAGAATAAGAAGAAATTTAACAGCGCTACCTATTTCCTCTTTAGGCGTCAGACATTTTTTTTATGCGCAGAAAGGTAAAAGCAAATTTCTGCGCAAAACACATTTTCTTCCTTCATGTACATTTCCGATTCTCCGATCCGCCATTTCTCATTCTTGTAGTAAAAATGGTGTAAGAGTTGTACATGAGTTGTCTTAGATTTTACGTAGATATCTGTGTAATGAACTAGCTAAAAACTGGTGAATAGTGGTGTATGTATAAATTTACGTATTCTGATTGAACTGGTGAATGCAGGGATATCCATTCCTGATCGTAAATCGGTGAAAACAAGGCGTCAAACTTGTGTCGAATGCCGACATTGTTCCTGCAAAAAATGTGTTGGTGAGGTAAGAATAGTGAATTTATATGTGTAAAATCTTCCTTTTGTGGTAGTTTTCATTTATTTTATTTTGTTTTTATTATATATGAAGTTTTTCCAGTAGTCAGGGGTGGTCCTGTGGTAGTTGATTTTCCATTATAAAAGTTTATGGACGATTTTGTGACATGCCGCCATTAATAATTGGGTATATCTTGATAAATATTCTTATACCAAAATTTTGACTCCACTGCACTATTAAAACAACATGACCTTTGAATTGGATCATAATGTGTGCATTGTTATCTTGGAAAACCGGTTATATGTCAATGGTTCTCGTCATAAAATAGAGGTTTGCTTCACAGAATTAAGGGATCAGAATGGCGACGGAGCCAATAAATTCGCAATTGCTGGCGAAGTCCTTCAATTTCCATGGTCAGCAACTGCAAAAATTATGGGAGGGCGAATTTGGAGAAACGGACCTCGTCCGCAGAAATGTGAAAGACTTGAATTTCCAAGTGTATGGCCAGCGCCAGAAACATCTGCCGTTTCAAGATCGGGGAAAGCGATTGAAACTCCAGCAGTTCATTATAAAGAAAGCCAATGCAATTTTTGGCCTGGAGGCCACCCAGCTGAAAAATGCAGACAAAGTTGTTACAGAAGATATGTATGCCATCATGCCCCCATTTGAGATATACAGTAGTGTTGATAAGCAAAAGAGATTACAATTTTTCATGAAGGTAACTTTTCCATGTTCAGCTTCAGCACAGGATTGATTGCAAAAGAAATTTTGATTTCAGAATGTTAAGGTTGGGGACTTGATTTTGGGAACCATTGTTAGTAAACAGACATCAGGGATGATGTTGAAAGTTTTGTGCACTGCTGGGGTAGGAGCTAATGTTCTTTATGCTGCTGATATCAATGTCAAGGTCAGTTTGCAAAGTAAAAATCTTTCAAATTTGTATTCAAACCAAACATTTATTTTAGGCATTTTGTCCAGTAGCCAATATTGTACCTGCTGTTGACAAAAAGGGGGTCACTCGTAGTTACATGATGAATGACTATGTCTGCTGTGAAGTTCTGGAAATCATAACTGATACTGATAAAGTTGTGTGCGGTATGAAGGGTGCTATGAGAAAACCTACAGATCCAGAACAGCGTCCTCCATTAGGACTTATTAGTACTGATGATTTTCCCATAGTTTACAAGTAAGTATAAGCTTCAGAAACACTACATCTTGTACATGTTTCTTATTTGTTGTAGAAAATTTATGATTCTTTTTCAGCATTTAGTTTATTTTATACATAATTTGTCTATCTTATTCTTCTGCCTTACCTGCAGGGCTCTTATTTGAAATAAAGAAAACATTGTTAATTCTTTATTTCATAGGAAAATAATTAGAATTTGTTAAACTTTTTAGTTTTGAGGAAATTTATAGTTATTCCCATTGAATTTCACAATGTTGACATGAAAATATTATCTATATATTTTTAACTGAACCCAGAGGAAATTGAACTCTCAGTATATGACTTCTTCCCTTGTTTATTTATAAATGTAAAGTTTTTTGAAGAATACTAAAGGTTTGATAAATAGGGAAAGACTACATCATTATTGGGTGAATTGTTCCTCTGAGATTTGCTTCTCTGTACTTCATATTTCAATATCTCAGTTATTCTGGCAGTAGGATTCCAATTTATATATCTAATTGATAGTGTATTAATATTGAGAACTTTCAAACAATGGATAATGTTCACTGTAAAAGTTATAATTCAATGCTTCATAATTATTGATCTACAAAGGAATCTTCATTTCTCATCATAATAGTAGTTTGTTGCAATATCTAGGAAACATCATTTTACTTCAGACTTGAAGCTCAGTCAAATCCTTTTTCCAGTTGTTTTAATATTCTATTGGATACTGGACTGGTGTTTTTAAAGTCATCCTGTTGAATTGGTTGATTTTATGGACATCATTGACTAAACTATTTTTTCTTTTTAGAATATGTATCTTGCCAAACAAAATATATAATTTTCCTACACCAATGATTGATAATAGCATAAAGTTGTAAAAAATGAGTGTTTTGCACAATGTGTGGTGAAAAATATGCACCTTAAGAAAAACTGAAGAAGGTGAGGCCTGACACTTGTTGGTATTTTCTACATATTGAATTTTATGTTTTTGTATGTGCAATCCTGTTTATGAAACATATTTTCCGCAGTACTCCATGAAATTCAGTACCCAGACAATAATTGTATAAAATAAAGAGGAATTTAACACAGAAAAATGATTGAATATACCCAGAATTTAGTTTTGTTAATGTGTGTAAGAGGAGATTTATCTGAATTGTGACAAAAACAAATTTCTTTAAAACTGTTTGACAGGAACTATGAAATGGTGGACATCTTTACATGGGTATGTATGCCTAACTTTTCAGGCCTCAAAAATACAAAAAAAAATGAGTCACTGAAAATAAAAACAAACTGACTCACAAATTACCGAATTTCTGCAGGTACAAGTACGCTACCACATCAGGCAAAAAAATGAACACAATCTAGGAAAGGAAATTGTTCTAATAGCAGACTAATTTTTGGATTACAGAAAAGCCCTGGATTACAAGAATGAAAGTTACGACAGTGTGTTAGAGAAGAGCGTCGGATTCAATAATCCCAATAACATACAATATTTGTCTGAACTCATGGATGTTAACAGTCACTTCAGCTTAATGTCCGGGCTAAGGTAAGAAACCATTATAAACAATGTGTATTTCAAACTAAACTAATACATAACATTCACTGACTGTAGGCAATAGGCATTAAAGTAGATTAAATGTCTTGCCAGTGGCATTAAATTGTTTACTTCATTGCCTAATTCATCTGCCATTGGAAAAGCCTATTTCATTCACATTATCTTTCATGGTTAAAGGTGATAATCCCATTTCATTGTGTTTAACCCTGATGTCATTTCCATTTGGGTACACCTCCCTACCTGCCTTTGAGTTGTTGTTCTTTATTACCCCAAGAAACATATTTGTTTATAATAGGGATATACAGTATGATGCAAATGTATGGAATAAATTCATTTCAAAACAAGACGACTTCCGAAAAAAATCCAAAGAGTAGAGTTCAGAATTTTTTTATCGATGTATTTTTTCAACTAGACGACCCTTCGATGTTCAATTCTCAGTAGAAGATCTCTGCAAGATTCAGTTAACCAAATGATAATCCATTTTAATTTCAATCTTCTTTTGCAAAATTTTGACTATTGGATAGACGATCAGTAGACCTTTCAAACGAGGTGTCACATGACCCCTGTTTGTATTTAAAAAAACCGTCCATTACGTCATTACTCCAACACCGGTGACGTAACATCTCTCATATGAATGTCATGAGATGAGGTTTCAAAAATTAAAACTCACGTGTTTTTGGAATTTCTTCAAATGTCGCCCATTTCTGAAATAATTAATTTATTCCATACATTTGCATCATACTGTATATACATATATAATCAGCAAAAACTAATTAACAAGTTATGTCAATATAGCATGATAATTATTGAAATAAAATTATTCCAAGTAATTCAAATGAGAATAAATAGCTCCATTTATAGTGTCATGAGTATATATTTTTTCATATTGACTTTGAATCTTGTTTCATCATCAATATGTTTCAAATCATAAGGTGATGAATTTTATGAAATGATTCCCTTGTAGAATACTGATTGTTTGCCAATAATGTAGTTATATGGGTTTGCAATTTATGAATTCAACTGTCTCGTTTCATGAGTATGAATTGTATTTACTTCAGTAAAGTTCAAGTTGGATATTTTCATTCTTTTACTCACAAATTGAATAAAAGAACAAATTTTCAATTTATAGAAAGGTGGTAAATTCAACAGATTTTCTGGTTAGTAAAGAATAATAGTTGGTTCCAGGTAATGTAAATTGTAGATGCACTCAATTGTTTTATTCTGTAATTTCATTAATGGTTTCAAATGTGATATACTTGTGCTTCCCCAAATCGATATTAAGTATTGTAATTTTGAGTAAATCAGAAAGAAATATATATTCTTCATCATTGGTGAAAAGACTAAGAGATGGTGACATGTGACGTTCTCCCATTTTACACTGCATACCTCTTTTTGGCTGTATAATTAACCCCAAAATATGAACAGTAGACGGGTGTTCCTGGCCGTCGAACGTGTGTACTTCATAAGGAAAGCGCGTTTCCTTTTGTGAAGAATACTCGTGTTTTTCTGCTATATTATACTGCCTGCCGTTGTAATATACGGGAGTTCAAACAAATTGAATGGCTTATAATTGATGGCATGCAATCCGCAGCGGCCGAAAGGGCTCAAAAGGGTTACGAAAAACTGAAGAAGATTTTCGAAGACTTCCGTGTTTTCCAATTTGCATGCCGATGTAAGATGTAAAGAATTGAAGTTTTAGTAATAAAAAAATTTGGCATGCGCCCCTCGTCTGACCAACGTTGGAAAATTTCGGGAGAACTAAATTTAATACAGGTTTTCTGTGATTCCAAGCTACATGCCATTAGAAAGATACTTCATTTGTGTAATTAATTAATAGTAGGTGAACCAGGATTTTGCAAAATAGAGACATGCCTCTATTTTGCAAAATCCTGGAATGCATGCCAAATCACCTACTATTGATGAATTATAGGAATGAAGTATCTTTTTAATGGCATGCAGTTTGGAATCACGGAAAATCTGAATTCAATTTTTACAGTTTTCCCGAAATTTTTCAATGTTGGTCAGATGAGGGACGCATGCCAATTTTTCCAGAGTGTTTTTTGTTACTAAAACATCAATTCTTCTCATCGGCATGCAATTTGAAAACGCGGAAGTCCCCTATAATTTTCTTCAGTTTTTCGTAACCCTTTTGAGCCCTTTCGGCCGCTGCGGATTGCATGCCATCAATTAGAAGCGCTTCAGTTTGTTTGAACTCCCGTATATTGCAACGGTAAGCAGTACAATATCGCGGAAAAACACAAAGAAAAACGCTTCTCCTTAAGAAGTGCACACGTGTGGCGGCCAGGAACCCGTCTATTGTTCATATTTTGAGGTTAATTATAAAGCCTTGGAAAGGCATGCGTAAAATGGAAGAACTCACTTGTCACCATCTCCTGGTCTAATAATGCGATTTGTTCCCATTGGAGGAATTTGGAACTAATTGATGACTTGTTTGAAAAAGCCCATTTGAATTAATTCATGCCAACCCCCTAACTCTAACCTAAAGTGCCTCAAATATCTCATTTTTCCCCTTTGAAGAGTGTGGACATGCTTTTCACCACTGACATTTCCAAATTGTCATCATTTTCATATTTGAAGCATCAGTTCTGAAAATTGAATAGGCGTCTCCGCGACAACGTTTTCAAATATATCTTATTTGGTAACTTATTGCAAAAATTCTAAGAATGATGGTTAACATTTATTCGAGTTACTCAAAGACAAGATGACATTTCAAATGTTCCTTGAAGCTTCAAATTCCAATATTCATTTAATGAAATTAAATTCATTTACCTAATATTGATAGAACTACACAATGAGGATTATGTGCCTTTGGTGTTACGCCAATGTTAGGGTTTCAAATAATAATAGAAGAATGACATTCCATCTCTTATAACATATTTGTGTCTCATGTTTTTTAATCAGCTGTTTAACAAGATGAAAAATGTGTCCACACTCTTAAAACCCTTCGATAGGCGCGCTGAACTTTTATACGAGTTTGCTCGCGCGGACTGCAAACGAAGACCATCTTTAAATAATGTAATATACAGAGAAGTGCACAGAAAATGGTCAGGATTGTAACTTTTGAATTATTCCAGAAAGGGTTCTGAAAATTGTTGGGCAGCTAGAATACCAAATTACTCATTTTTCTCGAAACTTAGTTTCTGTAACATTCCCCCTTTTTCCCCTGTGGTCTTCTTAGAAACGACCCGTTCCACTGTACTTTACATATTGAACATCTACAGCAAATAGATGTGTTCTACAACAGTAGACCGCGCACCTAACGTAGGGTTAAAGAGCGAAAAATGAAATGTTCGAGGTACTCTACTATAACTTGATGACTATAAAATTGAAACTGAGTAAATACAGATAGTCCCCCTTGCAGATACAAATACCCGGAGAACGAGTGTGCAGCCGACCTCCGCCAAGTGCAGGCCAGCAAATGGGCCTATCGCAACGTGGCCGACGGCATCGATCACTTCAAGGCCGGCAAGCACGTGGAGGCGTTCCAGTGCCTCAACAAGGCGCTCAACATCGATCCGAAGAACGTGGAGGGACTGGTGGCGCGCGGAGCGCTGTACGCCAACAGCGGCAATTTCCAGAAGGCCATCGAGGATTTCGAGACGGCGTTGAAATTGAATCCGAACCACGCCAATGCGCGGAAGTATATGGGGGAGACGCTGGTGGCGTTGGGGAGGAGCTACGAGGAGGAGAACAAGCTGGAGGAAGCTAGGTAAATATTATCAGGTTAACGAACGGCATCGAGCTCCCGACCGACGGGATCCTGACGTTTTTGAAATTAACAGTACACAGTTATTTTTCACGAAATATATTACTTTAATACACAATATTGTATGTCATGACATGCCATTTCAAGAGTAATATAACAGGTAAGTGATTTCAGTCCTCCGGAATGCAGTTTTCCAGCCTTCGCCAAAAATCGGCCATCACACAAGTCATCGGTTCATCATCAATGGAGAAGCTTACTCCAGATGAATTTCCATAAAATAACTTCGGAACTCTCCAGTTTTATGTCCACGCTGTACAGAATGGCGACCGATAAAGTCCAAGTCGTTTTCATTTTCAAATTAAAGCAATTTCTAATTTTCGGGACGGCAAACTGTGACGTACATTCTGAATCTAGTCTGAATATAGCTGATGGTGAAGAATATAGCTAGCGAATAGCTAGCGAATTCCTAACTAATGAAAGTAGAAGAAGTGAAATTGGAAAACAAAAACATACATAACCACAAATGCACTTGGAGCAGGAATTCAGAGGGTAGTTGGCTTCATTCTGACAGGTTATGGTTTTGTTATTTACGCGTTGAAATACCTTGAATAGAGCTCCATCCTAAACGAAAATATCATTGAATCAATGAATCACTATCGGCTACATTCAATGATACTATCCTTCCTAATTTACTGTCATCGGTCAGAACAGAATGAAGCCGACACCCATGGCTCCTTCCTCTTGTTATGCCTGTCAGTATTTTGAGTGGTGTGGACGGACTCGAAGTATTAGGCGCTGTTGCAAGATATAATCTGCAACTTTCCTAGGAAACAGATCCGTTATTAAGGAACGAATTCACTAGCAAAAAATGACTGACAAGTTATGATCACCATATTGGAATATAACGGTGAATATAACAGTGAAAAATTGAGATACTATCGCAAAATATCATAATTCATCTTCATTAGTAATCAACTTCATTCAGCCAATGAGAGATTTATGGGAATTATTCATAATACTTGACAAAGTAGGATTGATGAACCTATTATCCCATTGTGGTTATGATATAGTTATGCATTCGAAGATCAATTTCCGGAAATCTAGACATATTGATGATGTCGGCAACGTCGTACTGGCCCAGGGAATCGTATTTTAACTGTGTGTGATTGTGGATTTTCAGAAAGTACGTCACAGGAATGGTGGAGGAGCCAAATTCCTCTTTTATTCAATTTTTTCTGAAGTCAAAATTTGATCTTACGAAAAAATACAAACTTCACAGTGAGATTAGAACCTCAATATAGAAAACTTCCCCATTGTAGCCACTTCTTCCCTGATTGCCTCTTTCAGTTCTGCCGATGTGCTGGGTCTGTAAGATTATACACGTGATTTGAGATACCCCCACAGAAAAAAGTCACAAATGCCCAAGTCAGGTGATCTCGGGGGCCACGAGATGTCGCCAAAACGGGAAATTGAACGTTCTGAGATGATGCCTCGAATCACTTGCATGGACACACGAGCAGTGTGTGCGGTGATACATCCTGTTGGAGAAAAATATTTTCCAAATCCTAGAAAGTGTTTAGCTTCTGGCAGTAACGTTCGGCATCCAAAAATCGTCAGGTTCCCGTCGGTCACCCTGTATATCTATGGACCTGTGAACGATAGTAGTCCGGTAATCACTTTACAGAGATTCGTGCGGTCAGTCCGTCATCAAATTCTTTTGAAATATATGAAATAATGTTCAATTGATATCTCTGTTATTATTCAACTTTTATTGAGGCGATATTTGATAGATCGGTATATTTCAATGAATTCTACATCTTGAAATATGCCTTACTTTCGAGAACACCCTGTATGTGTGTTTTAGTTCTGGCAATCTCATGATATTGAGAATTACTTTTACAAACAAACTAACCTTACCTGTGAAGAACCGACAATTTTGAATTTTTCGCACTGAAACATCTCATTTCATCATTGATCGACAGGAAGGCCTACCAAAGTTGCCTCACCATCATCCCCTACCACGAGGAGGCGCAAAACTCCTTGGAATTCCTCAAAAACAAAACGCAAACGAAAAACCTGATCGAACCCACCGAACTTTTGTTGCCCGCCCTGAACGTGCCCGTGGGCAGTAAACCGCCCGACGTGAACGACGCGCTGAAGCAGCTGCTGAAGACCGAGGAGGAGGAGAAGAAGGACGGCAAAAAGAAGAAGAAGAAGAGCAAGAAGCGGAAGAACCGGAAGCATTCGAGCTCGAGTAGCAGTTCGAGTTCGTCGGGCAGCGGGGATTCGAGCAGCAGCGATTCGAGTTCCAGTAGCGATTCGAGTTCCTCGTCAGGTGAGGCGTGCGGATTTTCCTCCATTATTTTGACACAGAATATCAGACAGTGCTCGTCCGGTATGGAAGGACCATGATTTCAACTATGATATGATGGATGAAGTTTAGTAATCTATTGAACCAAAGAAGAAAAAAATTCTACATTTTCTTCTCTTGCATTAATTTTGATTTAACCTTTTTTAAATAGTTATTTTTAATTTGGTGAGGGGTGTGTTCAATTATGGACTGAACTAAAATTCCATGGACTAAATTCCAGCCACAAAATCATGCTTATCTTATCTGAGATTATTGAATATTGAATGAAAAATAAGACACACTAAGGTCAACACTTGTTTTGCGGATTTCAGTCAACAGTATAGTTATTAATATGAGTTGCAATCTTGATTCTTGTATAGAATATTGTTTATTACAAACTAGCTTTATATAAGTAATTTTCAAATAAGAGAGTTGTTTGTCTCCTCAATTTCTACAGAAAGAGTGACAGAAGTTTGTGAATTTTCGGTAACTTCTCGAGCTGAATGTGAAAAATTAACATTGTAAAGGACATCAGCTATGGTTCCTTTTCCGTCTTTATTTGACCTTCAAGTGACAAGGACACTATTCTTCTATTATCAGTGTTTATAAAGTTTTGTAGACAAAAACTGGAGTAATGGAGTTGGTAAGTGGGCGAAACTCAAGTAAATAACTAACTTCGATTTATTTTCTCACTACACTACATGTAATTCAAATAATTTTTGTAAAGTTTTCATGCTTACTTCGTTGTTTTTAGTCTAATATTGCCTAAAAGGCGTCTATTGGACGTAAACTAATCTAAATACCTCAGATGATGTCACAAAATCACAATCGCGAAAGTTATCGTGGTCGGACTCTAATGACAGCGACATAAGCTTCATGTATGATTTTCGCCTGAATATTCTCGACAACTTCGCTATAGCACACGTCTCTCGCCAAAGAGTTGAAGGGTTGTTGCCTTGCCCAATTTTTCACTGCTCAGAATAAGTTTCAATTTCAGTTGATTCGGGCTTCAAGAAGAGCAAGTAGCTGCCAAAAGCTCGCTTAGTCCGCTCAACAAGCGGGCGGCGCTGATGGACCAGCCTAAAGTCTCAATTTTTATTTTGATCCAGACTTTGTGGAAGATGCTTCGAACTTCAGCCTTCATTATTTTTGATCACCTCAGTAAAAAATCTGCTAGATAACAATTTCAAGATATTTGCTTACACTTCCTTGAGAAAATATCGTACGTCCCTGTACTGAAATTCTTGCCATTTTTTTAAGTTTAATATGAATAGATCCGGCTCGCAGGACCAATATGTTCGATGCTCGATAGATAGTGATTGATTGCTAGTGTTGTTATTAAAAATAACTTTCACAGGCGATTCTGACTTCAAAAAGCGCAAGAAACACCGCTCCCGCTCGCACCGGCGCAAAGAGCGCGAGAGCTCGCTGAGATCACCTCAGAAAAAAATCTGGTAGATAACAATTTTAAGATATTTGCTTACACTTCCTTGAGAAAATATCGTACGCCCCAGTACTGAAATTCTTGCCGTTTTTCAAGGTTTTATATGAATAGATCAGGCTCGAAGGACCAATATGTTCGATGCTCGATAGATAGTGAATGATTATTATTGTTATTAAAAATAACTTTCACAGGCGATTCTGACTTCAAGAAGCGCAAGAAACACCGCTCGCGCTCGCACAGGCGCAAAGAGCGCGAGAACTCGCTGAGTCCGCTCAGCAAGCGGATGGCCTTGATGGACCAGTCGCACGACACGCCCACCACCAACTTCAACTTCAATAAGCCGGCGGTCGCTGCCGCCGCCGCCTTCGACTTCAGCTTCGAGCAGCCGGAGGCGCCGAAACCTGTGGAGACCGACTATGAGGCGAAGGTGAGGGCGTTCTTGTCGGAGACGAAGGGCGATGCCGATTACGAGGACAAGGTGAGATTACCTGCTTTGTCATTTTTCTTTTTTTTTTTTCAATTGTTTTGTACATTTGATACTATCGAATTTGCTCATGATACACTGCAACCAACTTCGAAATTTTGGTGTTCCCTTAAATATTCTTCCTGCGCTTATCGGAGACGAAGGGCGATGCCGATAACGAAGACAAGTTGAGATTGCCTGCTTTGTCATTTTTTCGTTTTTTTTTTTTTCCATTTTTTCATTTTTCTGTATATTTGATACTTAGTTCAGAAAGTTCTGGTGTAAGAAAATACCAAGAAAGCACAAAAAATCATGTTTTTTAATGGTTTTCAGCTTTCAACTCGCAAAGGAAGCCGTTCATACAAAAAATGTACCAGTAGTAAAACCAAGAAGGAAAAATTATATACAATTTATGTCCCATGATACTTTTTGATATGTCATTTAGTTTCCAAGCAAAAGAGTGTTGAAGTTTTAGTGGAATCAGTTTATTAAATTTCCTAGTGTAAAAAAGAAAAAAAAAAGAAGTCTATTGTGAGGCAAGAATTTTGAAGGAATTTCAGTCTTCTGAATTGGTTAAGCATTCCTATCACTGTATCACAGTATCACTGTTTATAATGAAATAATATTCTCGGTTTTTCTTGACTTCTTTTTGACATTTTTTCTCCTCATCATTTGTCACATCATCATAACAACTACAATAATAGTCAAGGAGTAATTTCTAAATTGAATAATCAATAACAAATATATCTTCAACACTAGGATATTTTTATTGGTACTGAAAGAATTATTATTCTGTAAAGAAGATTTATTTTATAAATTTCCAGGAGGTTCAACAATGCTCTTTTTTGACAAATGTGTAGTACTCCTAAATCAGTGTTCATGTTGAAAGAATGTTTAGAATTTAAAATGTGGTTGGCAAAAGAAGTTTTCCTGTCATAAATATCTAAATGCGGATTTCTTGATTTTTCAACAAGTTTAACATGCTCTGTGACTCTAGTGTGAATCCTCCTACCACTCAGACCTATATATTGAGCATTACAGTTTTGATCTGAGGTAAGAAATTTTGTAGATCCTGATTTATGTAAAGGATGATGATAATAATAATAATAATAATGTTCGATGTCCAGCGCCTCCAACACCTGTCGCAACTCAGATGTCGACCCCTCTTTTTTTACTTAGCTACTCGCTTGGCTTTTTGATGAGAGGTTTTGATCATTTCACCACCCAACCATATTCAACCCCAAATAAAGAGTCAGGAAAGTTTTCATATATAATTAACATTTATTTATTTACATGGAAAAGTCATGAATAAATGCTGCCACATGGCAGGTTTGCAGAGAAAAACCATAGTGAATTGCCAAATAAAACACAACAGGAAACAATTCAGAGAAAAAACATTAACAACTAGTTCTTCCATTTGCCCTACTTTACTATAATAATAGTAATAATAATCATACTCGGATCGTTGCGTTTGCTCAGGGCACATGGTACTTGGTCCCTTACCTCGCGGGATGTGGGGAGTGGTCACTGGATTTTATCCAGCTCGACCCTGCGTGGCGTCGGAGACCGTGGCTAAATTGAATATAAATTCTTCATCATAAAATTGATATCATCAGATGGAAGTACATGGATGTTGAATCTGAGACATACCTGAATAATATTTTCAACGTCCGTAACTGGATTTCTACATATCCGCTTTAATTCCGAATAGTGGCTTTTCCAGTAGGCATCTTCCACATTTTCAATTACGTGGGTTATATTAAGGATCTTGCATGCCAAAATGTGCTGCTCGGATCTAAAAAACAAAGTATCAATTTCAAATTTGAATCTTGAGACCTACATAGAATATAGATCTATGAAGTCTGGATATTGTCTTCAACATTCGTAACTGGAACGCGATATATTTTTGTAATTCATCAACTATCTCAATGAAGACGAGGCAGGCAGATAAACAACAATTTTCTCTGCAATGAAGAACACTGTATATACCTAACCCACCATGCGCCTACCTCCTTTGCAGAGAGGGTTTATAAACGCCGAGTTGATACTCTCCCCTCGTAAGGGTACCTGTCGTGTTTCATAGAGACATAAAGGTGGATATCTGTCTATCTGTTTCCTTGAGAATCTGGAAAGGATATCAATATATCGCCTTCCGTACGAATATAAGAATCTGAATTCTGTAAAGTATACTCTCGTCAGTTCTCTTTGGGGATCTTCTATTAGGTTCGTCTTGACTGGGTGGTTTTCTCCGATCGGGTGGCAAGTATCAAACACTGCTTTTTGGATCTGCAACTAAACATCACATATTAATCGAAGTACATTCAACTGAGACATACCTGAATGATATTTTCATCGTCCGTAATTGGATTGCTACATATCCGCTCTCTTTTCGAAAAGTGGCTTTTCCAGTAGGCATCTTCCACATTTTCAATTACGTGGGTTATATTAAGGATCTTGCATGCCAAAAAATGTGTTGCTGGGATCTAAAACAAGGTATCAATTACGAATTTGAATCTTGATACCTACATAGAATATAGATCTATGAAAAGTCTGGATATTGTTTTCAACATTCGTAACTGGAACGCGATATATTTTTGTAATTCATCAACTATCTCAATGAAGACGAGGCAGGCAGATAAACAACAATTTTCTCTGCAATGAACAACACTGTATATACCTAACCCACCATGCGCCTACCTCCTTTGCAGAGAGGGTTTATAAACGCCGAGTTGATACTCTCCCCTCGTAAGGGTACCTGTCGTGTAACCATAGAGACATAAAGGTGAATATCTGTCTATCTGTTTCCTTGAGAATCTGGAAAGGATATCAATATATCGCCTTCCGTACGAATATAAGGTTCTGAAGTCTGTAAAGTATACTCTGGTCAGTTCTCTTTGCGGATCTTCTGTTCGGTTCGTCTTGGCTGGTTGGTTTTCTCCGAATGGGTGGCAAGTATCAAACACTGCTTTTCGGATCTGCAACTAAACATCACATATTAATCAAAGTACATTTAACTGAGACATACCTGAATGATATTTTCATCGTCCGTAATTGGATTGCTACATATCCGCTCTCTTTTCGAAAAGTGGCTTTTCCAGTAGGCATCTTCCACATTTTCAATTACGTGGGTTATATTAAGGATCTTGCATGCCAAAAAATGTGATGCTCTGATCTAAAACAAAGTATCAATTTCAAATTTGAATCGTGAGACCTACATAGATTACAGATCTATGAAAAGTCTGGATATTGTTTTCAACATTCGTAACTGGAACGCGATATATTTTTGTAATTCATCAACTATCTCAATGAAGACGAGGCAGGCAGATAAACAACAATTTTCTCTGCAATGAAGAACACTGTATATACCTAACCCACCATGCGCCTACCTCCTTTGCAGAGAGGGTTTATAAACGCCGAGTTGATACTCTCCCCTCGTAAGGGTACCTGTCGTGTTTCCATAGAGACATAAAGGTGAATATCTGTCTACCTGTTTCCTTGAGAATCTGGAAAGGATATCAATATATCGCCTTCCGTACGAATGAATATAAGGATCCGAATTATTTAAAGTATACTCTGGTCAGTTCTCTTTGCGGATCTTCTATTAGGTTCGTCTTGACTGGGTGGTTTTCTCCCATCGGGTGGCAAGTATCAAACACTGCTTTTTGGATCTGCAACTAAACATCACATATTAATCGAAGTACATTTAACTGAGACATACCTGAATGATATTTTCATCGTCCGTAATTGGATTGCTACATATCCGCTCTCTTTTCGAATAGTGGCTTTTCCAGTAGGCATCTTCCACATTTTCAATTACGTGGGTTATATTAAGGATCTTGCATGTCAAAATGTGCTGCTCGGATCTAAAAAACAAAGTATCAATTTCAAATTCGAATCTTGAGACCTACATAGAATATAGATCTATGAAAAGTCTGGATATTGTTTTCATCATTCGTAACTGGAACGCGATATATTTTTGTAATTCATCAACTATCTCAATGAAGACGAGGCAGGCAGATAAACAACAATTTTCTCTGCAATGAAGAACACTGTATATACCTAACCCACCATGCGCCTACCTCCTTTGCAGAGAGGGTTTATAAACGCCGAGTTGATACTCTCCCCTCGTAAGGGTACCTGTCGTGTAACCATAGAGACATAAAGGTGAATATCTGTCTACCTGTTTCCTTGAGAATCTGGAAAGGATATCAATATATCGCCTTCCGTACGAATATAAGGTTCTGAATTCTGTAAAGTATACTCTGGTCAGTTCTCTTTGCGGATCTTCTGTTCGGTTCGTCTTGACTGGTTGGTTTTCTCCAAATGGGTGGCAAGTATCAAACACTGCTTTTCGGATCTGCAACTAAACATCACATATTAATCGAAGTACATTCAACTGAGACATACCTGAATGATATTTTCATCGTCCGTAACTGGATTGCTACATGTCCGCTTTCTTTCCGAATAGTGGCTTTTCCTGTAGGCATCTTCCACATTTTCAATTACGTGGGTTATATCAAGGACATTGCATGTGAAACAATGTGCTGCTCGTTTTTAAAACTAAGGATCAATTTCAAATTCGAATCGTGAGACCTACATAGAATATAAATCTATCAGAAGTCTGGATATTGTTTTCAACATTTGTAACTGGAACGCGATATATTTTTATAATTCATCAATTATCTCAATGAAGGCGAGGCAGGCAGATAAACAACACTTTTCTCTGCAATACTGCAAAAATAATCTTTCATTTCCACTCATGAAGCAACGTTGTCAAGTTACCAATTATAATCAATTTATCAAAAAGATTAGAGTCCTTTCGTTGGGTAAAACCCGAGATAAAACATAATATGAGTGAGCCATGATATTATACTTCATTCTTGAATTTTTCTAGCAACCAGCATGTCTGAATATCTCTTGTACTCCATAACAAACTATCATGTTGTTGTTGAAGACTCGGCAACAATGTGTTGAATGCTGAGAACTGACAAGGCACCGCCCACAATTCGTACGTC